GACTCTCAGACTCATGTTCATCTCTGCTCGACTCTCAGACTCGTACGTACGCTGATAACAGAAGCTGTTAAGAAGCTGAATCCGTCCTGGCTCCACATGGAGTCGAACTCACTCACTCCGTGTGTCGTGACTGTTTTTCTTAATGATAATCAACTCATTTCGGCTAACAAACCCTCCACTAGGGGGTGTTTTCTAAACCGCCTCAGTTCTTCAGCCTCAGATCGACCTCCTCTACAGCCGACACAGACAGTATCACCTGTAAACCAGGTGATCCCAGAGGTCACATGGTCCGTTCCGACGTCTGACACTCAGGTGTAGTGAACCCTGAGATGGAAAGTTCCTCATCGGAGCCACAGTTTATGGCCTCGGTCCAGTCGCGGCCGAGTTCTTCTCCGTTTAAAGCCGTATTTCTCACCTTACCTCATGAATGAGTCATCAGACACCGTTCTTTTTCTCTACTTCTGGCACCGATCGCGCTCTGACGATAGAGTTTCAGCCGCAGCTGCAGCTGCGTGTGGTCAAAACACGGGGCAACAATGGCTGGAAATGACAGCTGTGGATTGGTCCACGGCCTGGAGCACGCCAGGGTGACCACACAGAAACCGTGGTTACTTGGTTTCCATGGATGTCCGTCTGCCGTGGGGAAGGTTCCGGGTTCGATTCCACCAAGTCCCAAATGATCAAACGTCAGTTTTGTTTGTCTTTGTTTAAATAATTATTGAGACTTAATTTGATAATAAAAGGAACTGAACAGAAACGTTAACCTTTGAACTTTTCATCTGTGTTTTACTGGATGTACAGCAGCAGCAGCAACAGCAGCAGCAGCAGCAGCAACAGCAGCAGCAGCAGCAGCAGCTTTATAATGAAGAATATAAAAAGGCAGAGCATCAGTGGAGGACGTGTGAGCTAACGTGACTGTGCAGACGCGTGTGTGTCTGCGAGAGAGTGTGTGTGTGAGTGTGTGTGTGTGTGTGTGTGTGTGTGTGTCAGACAGGGAGGAAGGGAAGCAGAAAATAGAAGCGGAACTGGAGCAGGAACAAGGGCATCCCCTTTAAGATCAGCCTGCAGAGACTCTGTCCTACATTTTCCTCTTTATTTGTTTCCTGGGAGCAGAGAGGAGAAAAGGAGAAGAGGAGGAGTAGAGAAGAGGAGAGAAGAGGAGTAGAGAAGAGGAGAGGAGGGAACAGCGACAGGCGGAGGCAGAGATGAGAGAGGACGGAGAAGAAGCTGGAGACCAGGATTCTGCAGGTGTTTTTTTTTTTTTGTTCTGCTGTAGAAACGCCTGTCGTTTATCACTAGTCATTAGGTGTCGCCTGGAGACAGGATTTAAACCATCAACTCTGCAGCATTTCCTGCACAGCCTCAGTGCGACCCTTCCTCCACACAGTCATCTCCTGGACTTCACCAAAACAACCAAAACAAACACGTTTGTTCTGAAACAACAACAGGAGCAGAGGTAGAGACGTGGAAGGAGAACCGCAAACACAGACATGTTGGTGTGATGACATCACAGCTACACCAATGAGAATCAATAAGAAATAACCAATCAATAATCACAACAAGTGTGTGAACCAATCAGATTATGACGTCCACCAGAAACAGTTCCTTAAAGACTTGGTCTATAAATATACATTTTCCTTCATTTCAACACTGACGCCTGCGTGTGTCTTTGCTCAATGGCAGCTGCCCTGCCTCACTTCCACCGACCTGCACATCCTCAAACCACATGCACTTACACCACCGCACGTTTCTTTTCAGCCACACCACAGGAAGTCCACCGTAATCCTGGTCCATTAGTGACGGCTTTTTCACAGAGCATTTCAGAACACGACTGTCTACAGGACAATACGGAAAAAAAGCCCCGGTGAAGCCCCCCCACCCCCCGGGCCGGAGTAGTTTCACCATTAAGACCCCCAACATTTGGCCGAGTAATTACGGTCATTAAAAGCTGGTGACCTATAAATCTGCGCACATCGATTTCTCTACACCCCCCCCATCCCCTCCCCCCCGTGTGACTCACATCCAGTGTCTGGTGGTGTAAGGAGTAGTTTTACCATGTGTTTGTAATGATACGTTGACGTAGTAGTAAAACTAGTTTTAACAGCAGTACAATCTACTACATGTACTGTATGATGTAGATACATGTGACTTTACTGTGGTTGAACCAACAAGGACTGTTTGAACAGACAGAACCATCAAACTTGTTCCTGCTCTTGTTAAGTCTGGTCCTCTGATGAAGAAGAGTCAGCTGATCCAGCTCACGGTCGATCAGGGTTTCCCCCCGAGAGGAAGTAAACGCAGGAGTGACATCATGATGATTAACACGGGAAACCCACGGGAACGGAGAACCAATCAGAGTGCACCGTAACATACATGAGAAATACCACACAGATAGAGAGGTACTCCAGATACATATTTTTTTTGAAAAAAAATTTTGAAAAATTTTTTTTGAAGTGACTGAGCGAACACCTCAACTTCTTGAGAACATTTTCATCGTGTGATTTCATTGGTCGACTCAGACATGACTGATGACTCCGCCACCATACACAACTAGTGAGCAGTTACTGTCTTACTGTGGGATGACTCAACATTTACAGACAGTTTTCTTCGTCTGCTGTACTTTCATGACCTTTTTAATTATTCACAACCAACTGATCTTTAATGTGATTGATTGACCAAACGAGGGCGCTATTTTTACCTCCCTCATCATCTGACCCTTAACTGAGGCTGAAGTTTCACTGAGGAATAACTGCAGTGGTTCACAGACAGACACAGACACAGCTGCAGTCTGTCTGTGAACCACTGCCAAGCTCACACACACACACACACACACACACACACACAGGATGTAGAGCCGGCAGGTGTTACCATAGAAACTGACAGGCCTCCCATTGACAAATCCTCACGACCAGATGTGTGTGTGTGTGTGTGTGTGTGTGTGTGTGTGTGTGTGTAATTGTGATGGCCTGTGGGGGTGTGAACATGTGTCTACGGCTGCAGAGTACAGTATATGTGTGTGTGTGTGTGTGTGTGAAATATACTGTACAGTCAAAGCAGCACCAGCGTATTTTAACCAATCAAAACGTGACTTACACAACAACAACTTCCTGACATCGTTAACATGTTCTGGTATGAACACACTGACCAGTCCACACTCAACCAGAACTAGGTTAAAGTTAGTTGTACTGACTAAGAGACAGAGCACAGTGAGGTGATGAAGAGTGAGTACTGAGGTGAGTACTGAGGTGAGTACTGAGGTGAGTACTTACTCTGAGGAGTCTATGAAGTATATCCCCAGGGCCCCGATGCTGAGGGCGAAGACCAGCACCACCTGAGGACAGAACAGAACAGGACAGGACAGAGGACGTTAGAGTTTGTCTACGGCTCAGGGTTGAAGACGCTGCAGCTATACAAACAAGGATCCTATTTAGTAGAAAAAAACAGATAAGTGAGGCTGAACCAGATGAAGGACCAGTGGTCACAGTGAGGTCATTAAAATCATTTAAACATCCTGTAGTCAATAAGAAACGATCGACCTGTGTTTGAGTGAAGGCAGCAAAAAGAAGAATTTCTATTTGTACAACCTATGGGAACAGCTGCAGGAGTGAGGAGGAGGAGGAGGAGGAGGAGGAGGAGGAGGAGGAGTGGGGGGGGAGGGGGG